TTTAGTATAAATATCCCGGACATGTCCGGGACTCAGATATAAAGCTATGGGACAATGTCCGAACACATTGTTATGTTTGGACATTTTTAGGCACATGGGACATAGAGTATTGTCCAGGACATCAATGTCCCCAAAATATTGATGGGACAATGTCCGAACCAATCACTGCCTATTAGTAAATTTCCATAGGCTTATCATATTAGTATAGAATATCAATCGGAAACCTGACTGATCATTAAAAGCCTATAATAGAGATTGGAGCTGACGAGTTTCGGGCATCGTTTGCTCGCAAACTCTATATATCATACAAAAAAATTTAGCGTAAAATTAAATTTATCAATTCAATTGCTTTTTTTTTGCATTAAAAAATTTAACAATATTTATGAAAAATGTATTTGCGTATAGTCAAATCACTATCATATCGTTATCAAGTTAAATTATAATTTCATATCGTTATCAAGTTAAATTATAATTTGACCGATGCTCGAAATTTTTTAGCGATGATATGATGCTGAAATTAAACCTTAATGTACAATTTTTGAAATTTTTTGAGGTCCATTTTTTTAGTTTTTTTTTTTTAGAATTGTATTTCTAAATTAAGGTCCTCAGATTTCAACATCATTTGATTTCAGCAGCATCATCCACGACAACATTTATAAGAATACAAAATATGTGCTATGCCTATAACAATTTCTTTTTATATAAATATATATCCGTTCTGAGAGAAGTGAAACGAGGCGGTTGATTAAGATTAATGAGAATATCACAACACAACATACAACGACACAAGAAATCTGTTTCCTTTTATAACTTCAATTGGCCAAAAATATACATCTAAAATAATAAAAATTGCCGATTTTTGTGTCGCACGAAATCGAAAGAGATGTATCATAGCGCTAAATAAAGAATCAGTCCCACCTTTTACAACGTACGTACGTACGTACTTAAAATTTTGGATTAAAATTTTCCGAAAAAAAATAAATATAATAACGAAAAAGAAAACATGAGTAATTACGATTACATGTATTCAATAGTTAGAAGTTATAACGACGCTTATTAATACTCCAATATCACATTTATTAATTAGCACAGGAATTTTCCGAACAATTGGAAGAATATTTGAAATCGAAACATATCAAAAGCTATGATTATTCGAAATTTGGAAATGTTAAACGTATTGGCGAAGGAGGTTTTGCAGTCGTTTATTCGGCAACTTTTAATGAACAGACTTATGCATTAAAAAGTCTAAATAACACATTGAAGTTTGGAGAAAAAGAGTTAACCCAATTTAAACATGAGGTAATGTGCTTAATTTTTTACACATTACAGTATTAGAATCTGAACGCTCACTATTTTTACAATTACACATAGATTAAGTGCCTTTATACGATTGATAATCATCAAAATACTATGGAATCTCTAGAGGCAAGTGTTCATAATTGACTATAATATATAAGCTACCCTTTTACAAAAACTTGCGAAAAATAACTCAAAAATAATCGCTCTGAAAATGGTTTAATAAAATATCCTTATGTTTTGTAAAGGGGTTAATTAGTATAGTTTTCGGTAGTATGCATATTGGGATATTTGTTAAGAAAACTTTTATGTATAATGAACATATTTCAACGCTGCTAGGTGCCGATAATTGCATTTATTTCAGTGAAATATTATCAAAGCTTGGCATGTCTCAATGGGGTGTGCGGCAAACTATGTAAATCAAAACTATATGTGGTCCCTTAGAAATTTTAATTAGAACTGATTTTTTTAG